AGTTCACTAAATATATCATTCATTTCTCATTCATAGGGGATCGCGAAGAAGGTGAGATTCCACACGAACCCACTTCTCTTGGATTTGTTTATTCAGAGGAACCAGACTTCACTCAACAGATGCACGAGGCTATGAGTGAAGAGCCATTGAGTGCTGAAGTTGCTATGGAATCTGGGGTCCAATTCGATCTCGTTACTGAAGTCACTTCTAAGGCCTCCAGCCTAGGTATATCTAGTATAGATATTCCTTATTTGGGTGGTGGTTCAAAGAGTTGAGTGACTCGGAATTTGTACCTCCTCTAATTGTTTGTGCGCTTCATGCTCTTTTAGAGAAGCTGCAGGAAATGAGTGCAAGTGCTGGTACTACTGAAGCAACTCAAGGTAAAGTTGACTTCCACCTTACGTGGATTCCTACTTTTTCTTTCGTATTGAAAGTTATCTCCTTTTTGCAGATATTAGTATGGAGGAATCAGCTAAAGAGGAGGCTGTTCATGATGCTTTTGTTGGAGATTTTCATGAACTCGATCAAATGATAAGCCTCTCTGAAGCTGACCACAAGTTGATTTACGATATGCTATCAGAACCGGGTCAGAGTAAAGTTGCAGGACCAACCATTGAAACTGGTTCATCTGCAAGTATGTATCTTATTCCAAAGTCACTTTTACTCAGTTGTTAATTTTGAATAACTATGTGAGAGTTTTGATTGTAGGACCAGCAACTGGTGTTGATACAACTACTATCTCCAAGTCTACTGAACAACTCAAGGACTTTGATACCTCGGGTTTGGAGCAAGAATTTGCTAAAATTCAATCATCCACCTTCCAACCCGAAGCTGCTATTCTCTTGGACCCGATGATCAAGGACGCTTCTGCTAGAATTGAAGCTAGCCCCGTTGCTTAAGTTACGAGACCAACTGATGAGGCTGGTGCATCCGTAACCGTTGAATCTGAACAAACTCCAGCGACTTATGAGATTGAGTCAGCGGGGCCAGGACAAGAGCGCCAACCTGAAGGATCTTCCGCTGACATTGGTATATTCTCTCCCATAGTTATTTTAAGGCTCCAAATATTAAAACCGCCCTTAATAATTTTTGGAGTATTTACTTCTTCTCCTTTTCCTGCAGCGCCTTCTTCATCATTATATAATTCTATCAAGACGTTGATGTCAGATGAAGATCCAGATAGGGTCATGATCTACTCGGAGCTTCATAGCATCGCTTCCTTCCTGAACATAATGATCAATCAAGTTCTTCACATGGGATCGCCCTTCCACTCTTTCAGGCAACTCTTTGATCGACATGTGACGGACACCAGGGAAGAAGGGTATGAGGATTTAGCTGACTCCATCGTAGAGGACTTGGCTAAGTTAGAGCATGATCTCTAAGAACTGAAGGATCTCCGGGCTGCTGGTGCTTCCTCATATGTAGCTACTCACATGGAACCGAGGTTAAAGGCATGACATGATATACATGCGTCTTCTGGGCTTGAACTCCAAAAGCTACGGAGTCGTGTGAAATAGATGGAAGTAGGTCTCTCCAAGAAGGCAAAAACAAAGACTGACTTACTCCGATCTTTAGAATCAAACCATGCATAGATAGCCCACCTCAAGAAAGCTCTTGAATATGTTGAGGATGATCGAGCCATCATGGAAGGCGACTTGGCCGGCTTGGAGAGTGCTCGCGTGAAGATGCTCGAGAAGCTGAAGCCTCAGAAAGAAAATCTAGCTGAAATGGAAAAAGAGGTCGCTAAGGCTTTGACTACCACTGAGGACTCCCTAAAAGCCGATTTGAATGTGGAGCTTGAACAAGCTTATGCGGAGAAAATTTCCAAACTAGAAGAGCAGATTCGCCTTCGAAAGCTAATTATTGATTGATGGAACCATCTTTGTATCTTTTGTTTTTATTTTTATGAATAAAGTGAACTTTGTGACCCTTTAAATCTTATTATGATTACTCATTCTGTTTGGAACAAATAAACATAATATTTATAGAATTTTTAGCAAACCCTCACCCATCAACGGGTTTGATGAGCCTTTACCAACTACCGTTTGAGTTGGGCTAGCATACGGATTGTCTAAGTCTGTTCCACACGTAATGTTGTGCTAAAAGAATAAATTCTCTTAGACATAGTACTACGATATTGAATACGTAGACCTCGCCATTCTTACAGGAATTGACTATCCGGCTACGTGTGTTATATGTAGACTTATCTCTGATTAAGGACTGTGATAAAATTCACTATGCATGAGAGGCATAGATTTAGGTTTCATTAAGTCAGTAATAAAGCTGGCTACACGTGTAGACTTTTGGAGTTTTGTGTATTCTCTTGGGGAAAAGACGAACCCTATTGTGTCTCCTCTTTGGGCAGAGACGAACACAGTGTTGAAGGAAAAAAAGATATTTTTTTTATCTTTCTCTTCGAAAGGGACTCTTTGTTCACGTGAACTTAGAGTTGAAAGATGTTGGATGCACATACATCAGAGAATCTAGAAAGAAACTCAGAGTGTGATCTCTACTCCAAGAGTCATGTTTGAGTCATGCCATGTGGCATTGACTCAGAAAAGACCTTTTAACTCACGTGAGCAAAAAGGTAGAATTTGGATAACCCTAAATTGTCTGAAGGTTTGATTATCCAATTTAAGTGGTTCTCTCATTCACGGAAAGAATCGAGAAAGGATTTTGGCATTGGTCCTAACTGGCTGAAGGTTTAACCAAGTAGGAGTTTGAGACGACCTTAACTGTCTGAAGGTTTAATCGTTTAAATTTGAAAGTGGTCTTCTCGTTCATGGAAAGAATCGAGAGGAGATTTTGGCATTGGTCCTAACTGTCTGAAGGTTTGACCGAGTGGAAGTTTGAGATAGTAAAGATAACAAGGGTGGTGTTGATTGTGAAAGTCACTTTGCCCATAAGGACATAGTGGAAGTTTTGGTGTCAGGTTCTCGACGATATTTTCTTGTGAAGACTTAACACAAGGGACTTGCTAATTGCTACGGATTAGCAATTAATGTAATGTCGAATATTGAATACTGTGTTAGGATTTCAATAGTTGGAATATTGAACGCATAAACACAGTGGGAGAATGTGTGAGTTTAACCATGAAAGAAGGAGGGAAGGTATTTTTTACCTCTCGCTTTTTTTTATGGCTAACGATTTTGATTTGGTGGTCTCGCCGTCAATTGATTAATCAGTAAGGGATTTTATAGTGGAGGATTGCAAATTATCAAATGTTCAACAATTATACAGTAAGAATTTTATTGGGGAAAATCGATCAAATGAGATCATTAGATTTCTGTTCCAACGAATGAGTGGTCTAACAACCACAGTAGGAGTGTTGATAAATCAATCTTGGCCATTAGAAATAACCAAGTAACGCAGATAAAGGAAAGAAGATATTTTGTTATCTTTCACTTCATGAGCGGATTTGAAGGAATTCAAATGATTTGTCCCAATTAGATTGGAGCCAATGAGATATGCTTCACATCTGAAAGGATCTTAGAATCACAGTGGGAGAATATTAATCATCTCAATAATTAATAATCTTAGGAAAAATTACAAAAAATTTAAATTTAAAAAATTACGAACAACCTATAGATACTAAAATTTAAAAATTATGAAAAAATTATGAACAACCTCTATGAGAATTACAAAAAAATTACGAACAACCTCCATGAGAATTGCTAACCTATAGATACTAAAATGAATATGCAAAATTACGAACAACCTCTAAAAAATTAAAAATTTGTAAAAAATATCATACTTATTATGAGATGTGGGAGGCCTTTGGCCTCCCCCTCATTATCCCTCCATTCACACCCCATTATGATGGTGTAACACCCCATTAAGTGAGGGTGACTCTTGGATACTCAACCTATTCACATTGACTATCTATAAATATACATCATAGGCCTTTGGCCTAGGTAAAGGGTTTTAAACACGTTATCAGCACGAAGTGTTCTTGAATCCCTGAGCCATAAAAAAAGTATATATTTCCTTCCTCTTTTGCGCATTGAGATCTGGTTCGTTGCAGCGGGAGCGTTCGACGGATCATCGCAAGGAGGCAGCGTTCTACGGATCTTTAGTATCGATCGTCCCTAGATCTTTGATCTAGAAGTAATTACTATAATCCGTAGAATAATATATGACAACTGGAAAATAAAAAAAAATTTGTTACTGTTCACCGAGGGTTACTGTTCACTCGGGAATTTTTCAGTTTATTAAGCAATTTTATTGTTGTTCATCTAATCTAATTGCTTTCATTATTTGTTGGCATAACTAGTAATTAATACTATTAGTTAATTGCTATTCAAAAAAAAATAAAATAAAAAACAGAAATGTTTATGTGCTCATGTTGATGAAACTGGCGAGAAGTTCTGCGGCTTCTGCTAGTTTGTAAAAATTCATATATTGTGTTAAATTTGCACATTTACGCTGATAGTATTTCCTATTACCATGAATATTATTTGGTTTTGCTTAGTATTAACGGAAGTGACCATTGCTAGGGAAATGCTCTTAAATTACATATTCTTGAGAAGAAAACAGTAACACCAACACCAAGGTATTATTGTATATGTCCAGTTAACATGACATAAAATCATATTTGGCCCCTATAGTTTTTAATGCTATTCTTTAAACACATATACATTTTTCTAATGGAATGCTAAACCCTTGGTTGTTTCAGAGTTTCCATTCAGGGAACATGCATTATTTTTTTTTAATCATCACTTGTTATATTCAAAGTTCAAACTCACAATTTCTACATGATATTAAAAGTATTAAGTAGGCAGTATCGCATAGAAACAACAAGAAGTCTAAAAAAAAAAAGGGAGCCCCTAGGGTTTTCCAAATTGTATTTTAATTTTATGATTTTTGTTATCTTTGGACTGTATAATCGGACTATGGACACTTTTTATTTTTTTGGTGACGGGCTGATCCACGCAACATGTTTATTGCATGAATTTTTAATTCCTTATTATTAATTCATGCTTTTCATATGCATAGATAAAATGGCTAAAATAGCGAGCGTTGATTTCGAAGTCCTAGACGCTGCTGGCAAGAATTATTTGAGTTGGCATGTGGACCTGAAGTTCCACTTACGTGCCCAGGGCTTATTAGCCACAATTTCAACTCCTGCTCCATCGGCTCAGGTCACTGTTACGGGTAATGCTGTAAATAATGCTGAGGTTGCTACTACAGTGATCGTCTCTGATATAGATAAGGCGAAAGCCATTATCTACATCAGGAGACATATTGATCGGACCCTGAAGGCCGAATACCTGACTGTAGAGGACCCAAAGGAATTGTGGACTGCACTTGAGGACCGATACAAACATCAGAAAGATGTAATCCTCCCACGTGCACGTTATGAGTGGGAAAACCTCCGACTTCAGGACTTTAAGTCCATAGCTGAGTATAACTCAGCACTTCATAATATCACCTCACGCCTGAAGTTGTGTGGTGAAGAAGTTTCGGAGGAACGCATGTTGGAGAAGACTTACACATCCTTCCACGAGAATGATGCAATCCTCATGCAACAGTACCGCGAACGAAAGTTCAAAAAATATTCTGAATTGCACTCCACCCTTCTGATGGCGGAGCAAAACAGAGAATTGCTTTTGGCCACTCATAACCTACGCCCTGCAGGCTCAGCTCCTCTACCCGAAGCTCACATGTTTACTTCCCAGAAGCAGAAGAAAAAGCATAAGGGTAAATTCAACAAGGGGAAAGCCCCTAAGTGGCAGGCCAGATATACACCCCAGAAAAACAACCCTCCCTAGAGCAGCAATAGTGAGGGAAAGAAGAAGTGGAAGAAGAAGACCACTGAGCTGTCGTCCATTCCCAAGAACACTTGGGAGGACAAATGCCACAGATGTGGCATGACTGGACATTGGTCCAGAAACTGTCGCACTCCGCGACACCTCCAAGATCTGTATCTAGCGAGCCAGAAGTCTCCTGTTGAAACAAATCTGGTGGAAAAGCAGCCGTCTACTCAGTTCACTGCTGATGACTTCGAAATGGATGATCTTCTCGACTAGATCCATGTTATCTTTATATGCATTTAAATTCTCATAGTACTTTCATCTTTAGTTCTTTACTTTCCATGTAATGCAATTTACTTTTCAATAAAGATAGTTATTTTCTTTAGATTAAAATATTGCATTCATGTTATAGATGAAGTGTGAGTGCCTTGTGGACAGTGCCTCGACGCACACAATCCTTCGCGAAAGAAGCTATTTCAATAGCTTATATGATTATGACGATCCCGTAATTACGATTTCGGGACTATCTAACATAATAGAAGGATTTGGTGAAGCAATGATATTGCTCCCAAATAAAACGAGACTAATAATAAAAGATGCATTATTCTCTCCGAAATCTAATAGAAACCTCATAAGTTTCAAGGATATTCGTTTAAACGGATATCACTTAGAAACCAATGATATAAATGAGGATGAGTATTTGTATGTAACTCGTCAAAAAGATGGTTCAAAAACTATCTTAGAACGATTCAAGGGACTCCCGTCGGGTCTCTATCATACATATATTCAACCAGTAGAAGCTAACATGATTGTGCACCAGAAGTGCCATTCTTCGACGAAATTTAAACTTTGGCATAACAGACTGGGTCACCCAGGATCAGCAATGATGCACCGCATCATGAGCCAATCAAGTGGACACAACCTGAAGAACCTGAAGATTCTTCAGAAGGGTGATTACTCATGTCTATCTTGTTTCCAAGGTAAACTGATCACGAGACCTTCCCTTCTGAAAGTGGGATTAGAGTCTCCTAGCTTCTTGGAGAGAATACATGGCGATATTTGTGGGCCTATTCACCCCGCAAGTGGACCATTTAGGTACTTTATGGTACTTATAGATGCATCAACCAAGTGGTCTTACGTGTGCCTTTTGTCCACCCGCAACTTAGCTTTTTCAAAGCTATTGGCACAAATTATTAAGTTGCGGGCTCATTTCCCCGATAATCAAATCAAGAAATTACGTCTTGATAATGCGGGAGAATTCACTTCACAAGTCTTTCAAGACTATTGCCTAGCAACTGGCATCGAAGTTGAACATCCTGTAGCACATGTTCACACCCAGAACGGGTTAGCAGAATCTCTAATTAAGAGATTGCAATGGATTGCTCGTCCATTGTTGATGCAATCACAGTTGCCTGTTGAGGCTTGGGGTCATGCAATATTGCATGCAGCATCACTTATCAGAATACGGCCCTCTGGTGGCCATATTTTGTCACCAATGCAGCTTGCTTATGGTGCACCTCCGAATATCTCACATTTGAGAGTGTTTGGTTGTGCAGTTTACGTCCCCATTGCTCCTCCACAAAGGACCAAAATGGGTCCATAGCGTCGTTTGGGTATCTATATAGGGTTTGATTCGTCCTCTATAATAAGATACCTTGAACCCCAGACGGGTGACGCATTTAAAGCACGTCTTGATGATTGTGAATTTGTTGAGGATTCATTTCCTAAACTTGGCACACAGTCCAGGAAGCCTGACGCTTCAAAGACCATTTCTTGGAACACCAAGACTTTGTCTCATTATGATCCGCGTACTAGTCAATGTGAAGATGAGATCCTGAAGATTCTTCATCTTCAGAATACAGTACATTTACTTCCGGATAAATTCACTGATAACCAGAAGATTGTCAGATCACACGTCCCTGCTGTCAACACGCCAGCTAGGATTGACATCCCCAAAGATGGATGCAATCCGCCGGCAGCAGAAATGGCTGTACCTCAATTGAAAAGAGTACGCCTACCAGGTTCGAAGGACAAAGTCCCTCGTAAAAGAAAAAATCCTGGAGAAATAAAGATGAACCCAACACAGGATACTGAGCTCAGACCAGCTTCCTCTCCCCTCCTAGATTCCCCTGAAGAGGAACAAATAGGAGAAACATCATTAAATTTTGTACGTACTGAGGAGGTACTGGACAGAAAAAGCACAGTCGTCGACGACGACTTTGCGTTCGATATTGCCGTTCACGTCACTGAATACGACGATGACATCGAACCACGGTCTCTAGCGGAATGTAAACGCAGAGACGATTGGCCAAAGTGGAACGAGGCAATAGGAGTAGAGCTGGACTCACTATTGAAACGTGAAGTCTTTGGACCAGTAGTCCAAACACCTGAAGGTGTAAAACCTGTGGGATATAAGTGGGTCTTCATCAGAAAAAGAAATGAACACAACGAGGTTGTGCGCTACAAAGCACGGCTTGTAGCACAAGGTTTTTCCCAAAGACCGGGAATAGACTATGAAAAAACATATTCTCCGGTTATGGATGGGAATACCTTCCGATTCCTAATAAGCCTCTCATCTCTGGAAGGCCTAGAAATGCAGCTCATGGACGTTGTGACTGCATATCTATATGGCAATATAGATAAAGATATCTATATGAAACTCCCTGAAGGATATAAAATTCCACCAGAGATAGCAGATAGACCTCGGGACGTCTATTCTGTTAGGCTTCAAAGATCATTATATGGTCTTAAGCAATCGGGGAAAATGTGGTATAACAGACTAAGTGAGTTCCTTGCTACGCAAGGATTCACAAATGATAAAGTCTGCCCGTGTATCTTTATAAAAAGATCGGGAACAAGATTCATTATAGTCGCCGTCTATGTCGACGACTTAAATCTCATTGGATCTCCTGCAGAGATCGCTGGGATATCTGAAAGCCTTAAGAATACTTTTGAAATGAAAGACCTAGGCAAAACAAAGTATTGTCTTGGCTTACAGATCGAACACCTTAAGGGTGGTATCCTGTTACACCAATCCACATATACACGGAAATTACTTAAAAATTTCCGAATGGATAAATGTCATCCTCTTAGTACACCAATGGTTGTTCGATCATTGGATGTAAAGAACGACCCCTTCCGTCCGCTGGAAGAGGGGGAGGAAATGCTAGGTCCTGAAGTACCTTACCTCAGTGCCATTGGAGCACTATTATATCTGGCTAACTGTACGCGTCCCGATATAGCGTTTTCAGTTAACCTACTAGCCAGATACAGTGCAGCGCCCACAAAGCGCCACTGGAATGGAGTTAAGCATCTTCTGCGCTACCTCCAAGGGTCTATAGACCTGGGATTATATTTCCCGAAGGGTGGGTCTCCCACCTTAATTGGTTATTCAGATGCAGGTTACAGGTCTGATCCCCACACCGAGAAATCACAAACCGGATTTGTGTTTACATTCGGTGGTACGGCCATCTCCTGGAGGTCTGTCAAGCAAACCACTGTAGCAATCTCATCCAACCATTCCGAACTCCTCGCGATCCATGAAACTAGCAAAGAATGTGTTTGTCTTCGTTCTGTCATTCAGCACATCTTAGTGTCTACCGGCCTGAAGACTGGTGACCTTGAGCCAACTACTATATTTGAAGACAATGCAGCCTGCGTTGCTCAACTTCAGTCTGGCTTCATCAAGGGTGACAAGACGAATCACATATCTCCCAAGTTTTTCTGGACGCACGATCTTCAAGAGGAGGAGCAAGTTAAAGTACAGCAGATCCAATCATGTAATAATTTATCTGACTTGTTCACTAAGGCTCTGCCTAGATGTACTTTTGTAAAACTTGTAAAAGGAATAGGGATGAGACATCTGAAAGACCTACAAGCCTGAAGCTTGTATGGTTCAGGGGGAGTAACCTATGGGTTGTACTCTTTTTCCTTAGGCTGATGGTTTTTTCCCACTGGGTTTTCCACAGCTAAGGTTTTAACGAGGCAAACAAGTTTACTCTGGATCCAGAAGTATCCACCCCATTAGCTTTACGAACTCTGAAGTGTTCATAAGCTAAACCCAAGGTAATGGATGGATAAGGGGGAGTATTATGAGATGTGGGAGGCCTTTGGCCTCCCCTCATTATCCCTCCATTCACACCCCATTATGATGGTGTAACACCCCATTAAGTGGGGGTGACTCTTGGGTACTCAACCTATTCACATTGACTATCTATAAATATACATCATAGGCCTTTGGCCTAGGTAAAGGGTTTCAAACAATACTCCCTTTAAAAATATAGATTTAGGAAAAATCATGGTCAATATTACCCATAACTTTTTTGGAGAGCACATAACTAATTAAAAATCTATTAAATTTAAAATTTATAAAAAATACTAAAGTTTAGTACATTGTAAATTACCCCTCCAAAGTTTAAATTTTTTAATAATGTTTTGTAATTCCTTAATTTCAATGTAATATTTAATAGTTTTGTGTATTTGTAAATTACAAAATTTTGGGTGTTTTTTTTTATAATTTTGAAAACTGTTGATGGTGTTGCTTTTGTAGTTTTCTAATTTTAATTGTATTTTCAATGTAATACATAGATACGTCAATTAACAATGATATTGAAGAGTAAGTCGTTCTTATGATATATTAGGGCACACATCACTATTCCTAGGCAGTATAGTTTATATATGCAAAAAAATTCAAACAATCTATATAGTGGTTAAAAGAATTTTAACTTTAATATACTATTTTTTATAAATTATAATTAACGTGAACCCACCATATAATTTTGACTGTGGTCATCATAATTTTAATATATTTGATTGATTGATTATATAGGTATATAAATTATATATTACTTTATTTTCTCACTTGAATTAATATTAGCTGCTTAATATTTAAATTATTATTTTTAAATTTAATATAAAGAGGAGCTTTAATAACATTTATTTATTTACCTATAGGATAATACAATCTCAATTCCTATTTTTTTCTTGAGATTTATTCTATAGTTATGCGTATCAAATTA